GAGGCGAGTCGGTCAGGGGGTGAGTTTACGAGGGGGCGAGTTGGAAAGGGGCGAGTCGGTAAGGGGCGAGTCGGTCAGGGGGCGAGTTGACCTGACACCGTGCAAAATCACCCATGCAGTATTTGTGATAAGGCTTATGCCTTTTTGGCTAAGGGTAAGACCTGTAGACTTGTCACCTGCTTGTTGCTTGTTTTGTATTAAGATGTGGAGATGAATAATTCATGAGGGCACTGTTCATCGCCTAGGCCTAGGGCCTACTTCATTTCATTTGGGATATTTTGTTATCATTTTCTTAATGCGGAGTAATTGCAAAATACCCTGCCACTCTAAAAATGACATCATTTGGGATATTTGGTTATCATTTTCTTAATGCGGAGTAATTGCAAAATACCCTGCCACTCTAAAAATGACCCCTGGAATTACTGGTTATGTGGGTACAAGGTGAAAATCCCTGGCCTTCAGAAGAGTGTGACTTTGACCTGTAAGTATGAGGTTTATCATGCGGCTTGGTGGGGTATTCTGCAATTGGATGTCAGACAACTCGACTGTTGAGTCCACAACTTTTACTGTCCAGCGAGGGTCTCGGTTCTCAACTTCTCACTTCAGAGCCGGTTCCATGCATGGACTTGGGCAATGGCATAGCTTACAAGATCGTGGACGTATCAGAGATTTAGATGTGCCCACTGTGGACGAATGATCAGTTTATGCATGGTCCATGGCCATTTAAGATACAGTGGCACATGTTTGATAAGTAAACATGATCCAGTCCGTGAAGTTCCGCGGCATTGTCGACAGTTCCATTTGTAAAGTAAGGGTAAAATTACATGTACAACAGTGAATCGTTTTTGTTCTGATTGGAATATTTTTGTACATGTACGTAGAGTAGAAAATAGAGCAGAAGAAAGCAGTGCCGAGTTGTATCATGATTGCACATACATGTTGGCACATTTACTCCAACCATAACTAGTCTACTAAGAGGCAAAAATAACATTCAAAATACCCACTGTGGTTAATCTTAAAGCCCACTAAAGCCCAAAAGCCAATCGTTGTGCCATTCCTGAGTGGCACTGGCGTGATGTGGCGGCGAGAGATTTCTGATGTGTTTTATTAAACATTATGTTTTTATTTATATCTTTGGGAGCCAGTTCTAAGTCAGAATTAGTGTTGGCCAATTCCAGCATTTTTAGAATCAATTCCGATTCCATCCAGGAATCGCGATTCCACTCGGAATCTATTCCAATTTTTACATGTGCGAATGCCATTTTGGGTATACCTGAGATTACGTTCAAAATGCACTTGTAAGTTGTTTCCTAAATACTTGTGTCATTAAAAATTACCTCCTTTTATTTCATGGGAAACATGAAAGATTTGTTATTACAGATTTTTAAATCAGAAATTTTAAGTTGATGGAGGTACATCATTTATGGGAAAAGATTATCAATCTATGCTAGCCCGTCGGTTTTCAAGTTCTAAAATGCATATTTGACAAGAAAGAAAGATGAGGAATCGCAGTCCTTAGCTGGAGCTGGAACCGGCTCTGAGAATTCTGGAGACGGCCCAACCCAACCCATTATGTCACGTATATTTCTGCATTGTACGTATAGCTAGTGGAGTTTGAAAAGTACATGTATATTGCGTGCATGTACTTAAGCGTGATCCCAAACTTATTTCCAGTGATCCGGAACTAGGAAACCGACTGCAATGCACACGGGCATATACGTGCAGCACGGGTGCAAGATTGTTTGATTGCGCAAAGATTGACCTATGGATTGACTTACTACGGCCACCATATTTCTAAATACCTCTGAAATTAAGCTTGTCTATATCAGCTGATTTTGTCTCCAAAGAAAGAGATTTCTCTGAGTTGTAGGACAGTCTATGCATTCTGATATGTGTCTCTACTGTTTGTAAACACTCTGTATGCTTTTGCTTGAGTTGTGGTTGTGAGTGTGATGACCAGCATGGGGTCTGGACAACTTGACCGTTTGAAAACTCAATTTGGGCAAACGCGACTGTTGACACAACTCAATTGTTGAGACAACTTGACCGTCTGTGTGTCAAAAGTAGTGCCCAGAATGTTGTGCTTTGTACAAAAAATGAACATCGGGCGATTTGTCTTTAATTTTTACTTGCCCGAAAGAAGAAATTACTTGTCCGGGGAAATTGGACAACTGTTAATGTCGAGGCCTGGACTAACAAATACAAGCTGTTTTTGTATTTATTTTACATGACTTAAAAGAATCTTCAGTTTTTTTTGTTTTTTTTATCTTATTTCATTTTCCCCCACGCAAGCGTTTTCCACGTTCTACCCCGAATTCCGCAATTTCCACGGATTTTCCGCCAAGTGGAGAACTCTGAACCTCAGTCAAAAGGAGCGACAGGTCGAGGGTTGAGACAAATCGTCCGTTGAGACAAATTGCCCACTCAGCCAAGTAGTCTTGTGAGATGTGGGTAATATTTTAAATTCCAACTATTTTAGTACTGGCTTCATACTTGGCCTACACACTTATGAAACTTTTGGCATTGTCATGTCAATAGTCAAAGATTATAACTAAGCCGGCATCCAGAATTGGGCATCTGTTGGGCCAGGGCATTGCCAGAGAGGCGAGGATGCCATGCCATCCATCTCTGTGAAAGCTGTGCCACCCCACGCTCAGAGTAACGTCACGCGATGCACACAATGCCAAATGCAGAGAATGGTTAAAATCATAGAGCTATATTAAAAAAACTGTAAAGTTAAAATAGTTGCACCTGCACAGACCTTCCCCTACATTTGAATTTTATTACGAACATGTAGACATGAAGACATCAAGGTTGAGTTGTGTCTGTGTCATGTATGTTGAAGTTGAATTGTCTTGATGGACAACTCGGCAAACAGTTGAGTTGTCCCACTAGTTCGAGTTGTCTCAACAGACAAAGTGGCGGAAGTCAAGCGGGCAGAGGGATAAGTTGTCCGACATCCATCATGATAAAGGCAAACTAAAACTGTCACGTGTAGAAGCATATTACCTGTTGGCCTGAACATTCACCTAATAGTGAAATGCATCTGAGAAAGATTCCATAATACATGTAGGCTTACCATGTACACATGTACATGTATGTGGACACCACTCTTTTCCCTACACCTATCCATCTGAAAGCAATAAAACTCAACTTCATAGGGTTTGTGCACAGGGTGTCAAGGGGCATCCGTACAATGTGGAATTCATTCCCATGTCCTACACATCTCAATTTCACACACTTGCTGAGGATTGGAGTTGCTGATGAAGTAATGCTGTTAATCTGCATTTGTAAAAGATCTCTCATTTTCAAGACACTAACACTAGCCATCCCAAATCCTCTGATTTCAATGATTTTACATACACTCTTGGGATTTGGGCTAAAGAAAAACTAGAGCCAGGCACATTTTGATTCCCTCTTCACATCATACATGTAACTGTATATGCATGCACTGGACAGGGAGAACTTGTTAGCTAGCAGTAATACTTGGAGGGCCAATAATCACACACCCTGTTTGGGTCTGAGGTTATGGTTATGATCAACCTGAAGACTCATTTGGGCAGTATGTTGGTTCAGAGGTGTGGCTAAGCGTGTTGTATTTCAACTATTTTTGACGGCTTTATTGGTACTTTCACAGAAATTCAGCGCATTTCAAGCTGGTGAGCAACGGATGAGCCAAAATGAGTGAAGTGATCACCCCTTCCAAACTGAAAGTGGCTGAGCTCCGAAATGAGCTGCAGCTGCGCGGACTTGACACTAAAGGGGTGAAAGCCGTGCTGGTCCAGCGGCTTGAAACTGCCCTGGCCGCAGAGAATGATCAGGGGTCTGCCGAAGCATCTCCCGTCCCCGAGGGGGAGGGGGAAGAAGAGGAGGCAGGAGAGGAGGAGTATGAGGGCGGGTACGAAGGCAATGGGGTGGAGATGGGGCAGGAGGTCCTCGAGGATGAACTGCTGGGAGGCCAAGAGGAGATGATGGAGCCTGCTGAGGGCACAGACAAGTACACGGAAGAAGATGCGCCAGCCTTGGAAGAGGCTGCTCCCGAGATGCAAGAGGACTTCCCAGGGGCCGGGGAGGAAAAGGTTGAGCCGGAAGCAGAGGCGTCCATGGAGCAAGGACTTGAGCAGGAGGAAGGACTTGAGCAGCAGGAGGAAAAACCTGAGCCTCAGGTGGAAGAGCCTCCCAGCGATGTCAAAGTTGAAGCAGCTGAACCGGTCCTCAAGGAGGAGGAAGGTGTTGAAGTCAAGATGGAAGCTGAGGAGAGCAAACCAGAAGTCAAGGAGGAAAGTGCCAAACCTTCAGCTCAAGCGGAGGTTAAAGAAGGTAGGTTGGTTCGCATATTTCGGTTCTGAAAGTGATACAGCCAATGATTAGACTGTCTGACATGTATAAGTCACTGTTGCTTCATGCTTTGTTTTCTGTATCCTATGATAGGAAAAATGCACAGCTCAACTTCAGACTACCTTTTGGATTGAGTAGGATACATTGATGGTAATAAGTTCAAAACTTAATTTGCGCCAAGTTATTCAGCTGTCACTGCAATATCAGAACTGAAACAAGAAGAGGGTAACACCTGTCCCCACAACTCTGTCACTACTTACCAAGCAAAAGAAGTCTCATCAACATGGTAGTGGCCTGGGCACATTGCTCCATTATACATCTTATTGTGTTTTTTTCTCAGAGAAAAAAGACAGTCCTGCCAAAACTGACGACAGAGAAAGAGATAGGGAGTCTCGGGACAGAAAGCGAGACCGCGACTATGAACACCGAGACAGAGGGCGCCATGACCGCTACCGAGATCGTTCCCCCAGGCGAAGGTACTAGAACTCAAGTGTTCAGTGTTCCTTGTTTGCTAGAAGTCAACCTTATATTGCCCTATTCAAATCTTCCCTTATTGTTGCCTATGTGGAAAATGAACTTTCTTTTAAACTTTTTCCCAAATTGTAAAGTAACTTGGTTTCAAAACAACATGTTGCTAGTCACAGCCTCCCTGATATGAGGCAGTGCTTTTCCGTTATCCCTAACCTTCCAAGACCCCTCAAAATTAACGGAAAATTTGGGCAGATTTTACTGCATCTCAGAAGGTAGGAACGGTTTCAGCTAGCAAGTTGTAAACTGTAGCTGAAGTTTTAGCTTAAAAATACTCTTTTTGCGGCCACTTTTTTAAAAATGTAGTACTCAGTGCATTTTTACTGCCACTTGCCCAGGATTATAACCAAAGTTTGTAGATATTTGGCAACATTGGCAAGAGGGAGATGGAAGCGTTATTGATCATATTGTTCTTGACTTGAGAAAAATGCAATGACTATGCCACTTGTTTCCAGCAAAGCTAAAGTTCTTAAAAGGTTTGGGATAGTTCGAGGGCAAAAAGGCCCTGGGAGTCAAGGTTATAATGTACCCTTTCTCATCTGATCTTTGAAGTCTTTTTCCAGTTTGGGAAGTCGGTCGCTAATTTTTTTTATTTTTTTTTTTTTAGGACACCTTCGCCACCTGTCATGGAGGAAGATGACGACATTCCAGAAACCACCTGCGTTCTCAGCAAATGTAAGTTGCTCATTTGACTTGTACTGATATGATCCCAAAATGGATAGAGCTGTCCTTGCATTATCACACTTGAATTACTGGTACACTTCATGAAAATAAATCCTTTGAATTGGCATCCTGGACCTGTACCCAACCGAAAACTGTTTACACCAACATACAACGATCACGCAGTGATTTTAATCCTGTGCTGTCCTGGCGTTTCTGTAGACATCTCTGACTTGAACATGAAGGTGGCAAAGGACGGCACCTCAGCCCAGCCTCTCCATAACGACGGCTTTGCCTTCCTGTGGGGTGGAGTCAAAGCAACGCACGGTGTGACCAAGGGGAAAGTGTGCTTTGAGGTCAAGGTACGTTACAAAGCTGATGCCAGACCCATTAAAGAAGTCCAATCTCAGCGCTTGCGGCAGAAGCTTACTTTACAAAAAGGAATGGGATTTTCACGAATGCTGATCATACTGTATCTAAAATCCTCAAGCCATTGCAGACGTTATGTTTAAGTGTCTAGTGCCGCACTCTACTACCCAGGGTGAGGTTTGTCAGGGTTTTTTCATCAGGAGTTTCCTGGTTTCCCGGATTTTTCAAACAACTGGGATAATAGATACAGTAAAAAGATAATCGATGACTCGCGGTGTCGTGTTGCTGGTAGCGACGTTTCGGCTGCTAGTGCTGCTAGCCTTCATCAGGCAACTGAAGTCTGGATGCTGCAGGGTCTGCTATATACCGCCGGACCGCGTCCTCCGCGTGTCCCCCGCCGTGTATTGCGGACGCAATAATTGTGATAATTGTGATATACCATTAAGGTGTTTTTGCCTATTAAAAGTGGTTAATTATAGCAACAGAGCCATTAGACCACATTTCAAAAACAGAACAACATGGACTACTCAATTTTCCGTCTTTACCCTTTTTTGTGTGTGAAGATTAAGAGAGAAAGCTATCCAAAGACTTCTACCCTGAAATACAGAGTCTCCTGCAAAGGACAAGTGAATTCTTTTAAGTCTCTGTTTTAAATATCTGCCCTCCAGTTCATTACACTGTGCTTTCGTTAATTTTCTTTTTCTCAGCTGGAGGAACACCTGGATGTGGACCATCTTCCCCCAGAAGAAACCAACAGGCACGTCATCCGTGTTGGCTGGTCTGCAGACGAAACCTCACTTCAGCTCGGTAATTAATGATGTGAAAAGGTTTTTGTGTGTACCATCTCATCCCTGTATGTGATCAAAAAGATACACTTCAGTGCCAATTTTGAAACCGTGCATTTGAGGACAAGTAACGAGTGGAAAAGGATGAAGAATTGGGATGACATATCCTCAGTTTCTACCCATAGTTTTGATCATCTTCCTGAAATCGGGGCCACAATTCCCAGGTATGGAGACCCACCGAGACTGCCCTTTTTTTCCCCTTTTGTGCAGGTGAGGAGGCATTCTCGTATGGTTATGGTGGCACAGCAAAGGTTTCCGTCAAATGCAAGTTCACCAATTACGGGGAGAAGTTTGAAGCCGGAGACGTGATCACTTCGTGCCTGGTAAGATCAACACTGCTCTAAGATTCGACTGAGCCCAGCCAACCTGATCGTATCAAGCAGTGTACTACTTGAAATGTTTATTCTTATGGACACAGTACGATTGAACTTGGCCAGGATTTTCTGGAGGTTTCTGCAGGATTTAGGAAGATGGAGCCCAGTTTGTCTTACTTTTCATGGGATTTGATGTCCCTTTACAACTTACTAAGAAGGTACAAAATGATGTGCCATTGTATTTCGTACACAGTGATTTACTCGGAAGGTTTCAGTAGGGCCTCTCCAAAAGATACTTCAGGAGTCAGGGTTAAAGGTCAGCTCTAAACATTGCTTTTCAATGTGCCTCTCAAAGATATGAAAAAATATGTCACACAGACATCCTCTCAAACCCTCTGTCTGAGCCCATGGTCGGCCAAATCTGGAAATATTCCTGCAGATAGATCGCCATTTTGATTTTGAGCAGGTCATTTGCATGAGGAAGTGAGAGAACTCTGCATGTTTTGTGGACATTTGACGGGAACAGGGAGAGGTAATGGCTAGCAAAGGCCCTCCGTGTGATTCCAGACCAGAGTTACTGGCTTGGTTAGGTCAAAGTACATGTGGATTTTATCCCCCAACAGTGAGTGAGTCAAGTGGAATCTGTTCTTTTTTTCTTTCTCTCCACACTACAGGACTTCGAGGGTGACAAGCCCACTATCTCCTACAGCAAGAATGGCACAGATCTTGGAGTGGCCTTCACCATCGAAGACAACTTGGAAGGCAGAGTGCTGTTTCCACACTTGCTGCTGAAAAACACATCCGTATCGGTCAACTTCGGACAGAAGGTGAGAGGCTGCTGGAGATGAGCTTGATGTAATACAGAGTATGTGGTCATGCGTCAAGAACCAGTGGGCATAATTCCACCTAGCTGACCTGGCTTGATGGTAGCTGTTGCATTGTCAAAACGAGAGGCCTCTATTTTGGCCTTGTGATATTGATGTTGTCTTAACTCCAGTTATCAAACACTGACGTTGTTCCCTCACCCCCCCCCACTCTTGCATTTTTAGGAAGAGCCTTACTTTCCAATACCCGAAGGCTATACTTTGGTGGCCAATGTCCCTGTTGAAGATCGCGTCCGCGGGCCCCTGCCTCCTGCAACCAAGAAAGACTGCGAGGTGAGCAACAATTCAAATCGACCGTGAAGATGTACAGCGCTTATTCATTATTATTCCAATTGTACCCAGTGCCGGTGTGCCTTCAAGTGGTCATTTTGTTATGACCTCAGTCAATTGATTTGTCAGATTTTTGTCTGAAAGAGATTTTGGTTTAGTTTTTGGATGCTGATGCATTTTATTCCAACTACCGCCGACCAACCCGTGATTTTGCTTGATCTTAATCGACTAGTTTAATAAAAGCTTCAATTTCATTTTTTAAACCCACCTCAATTGAAAACACTGTGCACAGCCTGTATTTATGTACATGTATACAGAACTAGGTGAGGTTTGTTTTTTTGTGACAAGAATGTACAAGTGGGTTATTGCAGAGTGCCACAGTGAAACAGAAGTGATCACACGCCACCCTTAATTTTTTGTCCGCTTTTCAGATTCTCATGATGGTAGGGCTGCCGGGTGCCGGCAAAACCACGTGGGTCGAGAAATACTGCGTGGAGCACCCGGAGAAGAAGTACTACATCCTGGGAACCAACCTCATCATGGACAAGATGAAGGTAATGGGAAATCACCACCAAAAGATTACCTGTTTCTTAAAGGATAAAAAAAAATCAGCAAATACCAGACTGAGCAGTGGTGTGTGGGCTTACCCTGAAGGCTGCAGTACCTTTTATTATGTAGCTCGTAGACCCCTCCTAGTAAATGTGTATTTGAATTTCTTTAACCCTAACCCTCCTCAGTCCTCCAACAGGTGAAGGATTGAGGAGGGTTAGGGTTAAGGATATCACAGAAGAGAATTTGTTGTAAGAGATTTCATCGTCAATTTGAAGTTGTCTTTAAATTTAGTTTGGAAGTGAAACTGTCTTTATTATTTACATGTAAGGTTTTGTAGAGATACATCAGTAATAGCTTCAGGGATGGTACTTACGGTTTGCAGTAGAAATCCTCAGGGCTTTTCGAAGTCATTTGTAGTCATTAGTGAGGTTGCTTTTCACATTGCTTACTATTTGTAGCCTGTTTCTACACCTTTGGTTGGTGTCCTGTTTGTCCAATAGGATGCTTTGGAATAGTTGGAAGGGTTTGAGTGAACTGATCATTTGAAGTTGAAACCGCATCTTGCGTGGTGATCTCACTTCATTGCAAAGCACTTCCATTGTAAAGAAACTTGAACAATGCTACGTTCGCATTGCACAGTCCAAGAAATTAGTGTTAATTAAGTTAAGAAGCAGGACACGTACTTCTAAGACTGAAGCAGTGCAAATTACTGAATGCAAGTCGGCTTCAAGTCAGCAATAAATATTGTGATAAGACTTCTGCAGGCAGTACAACGTGACATCAAAAATAGGAGCTTGCATTCTCTTCTGTCACCCGAGGCACTATACGAGCATACAGAAAGCCGCAGCATGATCATAAGAAGAAGCAGTCAACAAATCACTCAAGAAAAAGGGATGGATCAGAACAGGAAGTGGAGGACCACTTTTAAGTAAAGTTGCAGTCAGTTCTAAAAAGTGGTGACTGTTGTATCCAGTCTTCCAATGTATCTTGCATTTTTAGACCAGAGAAGGTTTACATTACACCTTGGCACCAAATGGGACATTTTGAGGGGAAAAACAACTTCAGTAAAAACTAGTTACAGTGCGAAACCAACAGATCAGTCACTATCAATCGTTACTTTTTAGAAATAGGAAACATACATATTTCTTAGTCAGAAGTTAGTGAATATGTGCATGGTTATATTTTGTATTAAATATTTTCTGACATTTAAACTGTGTTTTCTACATAGGTCAGGAACCTATTGTAATGTAAATTGCAGCCTTAGTGTAAGCCACCTAACCTTGCTGTAGTCTCTTGTTTGATGCAGTGTTTGTTTTCTTATGTGTTTAAGAAGTAGGGCAGGAAGAACTCCCAAGTTATGCAGGTTGACTGTAGAAGCATATTGTTATTTATAGCCGATGACATAATGAGCAGGCCGTTCAGCCTTTATCCTTATACAGATACCGGTCGCTGTACAACAGTGATAAAAACCACCATGCTGCTTTGATGTACGTTGAGTGGGCCCAGCACAGATTATCACAAGAGTTAAGACAAAAAAAACACACACAATCCTATCACATTTGTAAGTAGAAATGAGAGTCGCCCCCCCCCCCGAGAAAGTCGTCAGTTGTATCGACAATTTCAGCACGGCGCTGTAAGTCAGATCTCTGTGACCTTTTTTTTTTCCAAATCTGGTCTTGTAAGTCATTTCTTGTACTTACAGCTGTCTTCTTTGCAGGGTAGCTTTGTTGCTTTTAGTGGTTAATTGGCATGCCGTGCCTTGAGGGGTTTGGGGTTTTTTTTTTTCCAGTTGGCTTGATGTTAATGAATCCAACCCCTAAAAATCTGTAGGTCATGGGTCTGCCCCGCAAGCGTAACTACCACGGCCGTTGGGACAGCCTGATGGACAAAGCCACTAAATGCCTGAACCGGTTCTTTGAAATGGCACCGCGTAAGAAACGTAACTTCATCTTGGATCAGGTGAGTGATTGAAAATCTTCCCCTCCTGTCCGGTTTCTTCAGATACCACTGTTCTGTAGCAATCAGCCAATCTGTATTCAGTATTTGAGTGTAGGATCTTAAATGTAGCTTCCCTAATGGTTGATTGTGCTGCTCTTAAGCCAACTGTTGGTGAACAGGAGGGCTTCAGGTCATAACTCTGCAGTCAAACATAAGTGTAAATTATCTTTTGCATGTTATATTAGTGTGCATATTTTGCACAGTAGTGTATTTCAGGAATGGAATGCCAGGTGATGACTGTTGTCAGAAATAATACTTTTAAATTGCATCTGTGCTGTGACTTACTCTTAGCTTCAGTACAGTTGAACACGATTGACACGAGCACACTTGAGACGAGATCGTGCCTACTACGAGCATATTTCTTCAGTCCTGTTCAAAATGTACACATTCCCATAAGAGAAAAACTTACTTAATACGAGCTGTCCTTAGACGAGAACACGGACAAGAGGAGCACTTTTGTCTAACCCGCAGTGTCTAAAACTATTGTCCGTGGCATTTTTATAATGAGTACAATTGAAAATGCGTCTTGAAAAGCTTAATCCCAGTAAATCCTGATCCACTCGGCAATTTTGCGCTGCTGTTTTACCACCGATGACTTGACAACCCTGTTCCTTGTGCCGCTAGAGGGGGCGTTATTCAAGATGACAATGGGTGTTGCGATGTCACAGCATCAAAGGAGTTTCAATCACAGGGGGTTAGGTCCGAAAGAGGTGTTTTTTTGTTATTTAAACCAAACAATGGATAAACCCGACTCAAAAATCATTTCTAGGATGGAAGTTTTGATGCCGAGGAAAAAAAAGGCACAAACAATTCTCCTCAAAGACCCCACACGGTCAATGGAAAGAAAATTGAAATAGGTTTTGGAAATTACACCCTTTTAAAGTTCCCTTCCTTCAGTTAACCGATGTCTCACATTCACCTTTCAAAATAAACTTGCACAACCCTGTCGCACATTAAAAATGAAAGTTACTGTTCCATAAGTTAAAAGAACATTTTTACAAAATAGATCCCTCCCGCCAATTAAAAACCAACGGAAATTCCCCAACTTCAACGCGCTCTTACGTCCGGTCCTTACACACATGAACTGGTTCTCAAGTTTACTAAACCTTTACTTACATGCAACATCGGGTACCAGTTTCCAGGTCGTGCTCTTCCACGCGGCGCGGCCGGCAACTTACACCACTGTTCTCAGCTGTTGTTTCAGACAAGTAGGCGTATTCAAAACCTTTTGTTTTATTCATTTGAATCATATTGATAAATACGATTTAAATTTATTAAAAAGTTAAGGCTGGTACATGTACATTGAATACTCGTCCACTACATGTACTGTACCATGCAGTACATCGCCGTAGTGTATAACAATGCTTTCTGGTGCATGACGCTAGGCTTGCGCTTCATGAATGGGATAAGTGTCAACACGCATAACACGAGGTTCACCATAAGATGAGGCTTTTTGGAGAATCCCTTCGAGCTCGTTTTAACCGTGTTCGACTGATGACGGAATAATTGTCTGAAAATCAGAAGCAGCCTACAGGACAAGTAAATAAAGATTAGAGAGTGTGCCAATGATCAGTAGGAAGGAGATTGTCAAACAAAGTGAGGTGACAGTAAAAGCGCAAGTTTCAGAGATGGAGACTAGCATATGTTCTGGAAGAAAAATGTGTTGAAGGCATCGTCTCTTTGGCGTAATTAGTGGCCAGAAGGAGGAGGAATTATTGAGACTCATTATGCAGGAATGAGCTGATAATGATTAGAAAGAAATCACGACTCACGTTCAGGAATTGTCGTCTCCTTGTTAGAAGTGGCTTGATAGACAGTGTAGCCAATGTTACTGTGTTGTTTTTTTTAATGGAAATTTGAGAATGTGAGGTTGTCACTGAGCAACTCAACTGCAGACTTCATGCATACCCAGCCTTGTGTGGCAAAGCATGATACGACCTAGACCCCAATCATATCACTGGCAAATGGTCTTGATGTTCTGGTTTGTTTTGTAAACACCCTAAGGGGCCAGAATCTGGATTTTAAGAGGATTTGATGGCAATTGTTTGAAATTTTTTGGGGGTAAGTCTTACCCCTGCGGACAACACAAAGTGAAGTGCTTGATTATACCGAGGCAGTGCAGAACTTTAACTTCTAAAAACTGCTCTGTGTATTAAAAATTTTGCTGAAAGTTTTCAAGGAATATGCAGTACGTGATACTTTGTTGAATAAATGTCACAGCTGGTAGTCTCAAGAAGTAGTAGAGTTGCATTTAAGTCTGTATATCTCTTGACCAATTGTAACTTGTATGTTGTAGCATATGCTTTAAGTATATCTTGTGCTGGAACTTAACCCGTTTTGACATGTTTTCCTTTCAGCAAAAGGTGAGTGCAGGGGGCTGGGAATCGTAGATAGAATCAGGAGACTCCACATCCGTCTAACTAGTTCTCACTTTAAACTGATTGTGTAAACCCCTATTGTGGACTTGATCATTGCAGAGCGTGCCACGTCGTCATATCCTGTCCTTTTTAATTGTGAGCTTCATCCTTTCTCATTTATTACCCCCCATAACACCGGGGCATCAGACCAATGTCTATCCTTCTGCCCGCCGACGAAAAATGCGACCATTTGAGGGTTTCACCAGCAAAGCAATCGTAGTAGTACCCACTGATGAGGAATTTCTGAAGCGAATTGATAAACGCACAAAGGAGGAAGGCAAGGATGTACCCGAGCATGCCGTGTTGGAAATGAAAGGTAGGATGATCAACGGAGAGCTGAAAAGACTCCACTCAAAACCACAGAGAGAGAGAACCAGAAGGGCTCTCGTTAACGTAGGCTTCGTGTAGGGAAGCAGTCCTTTAGGGGCATAGTGTGTAGGGCGTAGTGAAACCCACACCAGTGCGTTCTCTGATCCTCTTTGCTCTGGTTTTTCCCCCCTTCCTGACTTTCTCCTCATAGCCAACTTCGAGCTGCCGGAGGAGGGGCAGCTGTTCGAGGAGATCAGTTTCACGGAGCTGAGCCGGGAGGAGGCCAAGCCGGTGGTAGACAAGTACATCAAGGAGGGGCGCGCGGCCGTTGGCTCACAGCCAAAGCGCTTCCGGGACGACCGGGAACGAGGCGGCAACTGGGGCCGCGACTTCCGGGGCGGCGGTGGCGGTGGCTACAACCGCGGGGGCGGCGGTGGCTTCAACCGTGGGGGCGGGGGATACAACCGTGGCTATGATCGTGGTTACGGCAGGGGAGGCTATGATCGTGACGGCTACAGAGGCGGATATCGTGACCAGAGACAGAACCGTGGAGGTCAGTGCCATTTGAAATACAAGGCCATATACATGCCCCCTCAAGTACATGGTAATACCAGAGGTGGATCTTCGGGAATACTACATTTTGGGCCATAATTTGGGTGTTTCCCAAGGTATTTTATTTCCAACAATGACAATCATGACTCTTCCAAATAATAAATGATTTCCCACACGTCTGAGGTAGAGATCAGGGGTAATGCCTAATTGTAATATGTGACTTTTTTGTGTGACATGTTATAAAAATACAACTAAAAAATGCCTCTGTCAGTTTGATGAGAAATATAATAATCTGCTAAAGCCAGGGGTTGACTGAATTTGTAAATCTTCTTGTATTTTCTTCCACAGGTTACGGTGGCGGCGGTGGTTACGGTGGTGGGGGTTATGGCAGTGGCAGCGGTGGTTATGGTGGTGGGGGTTATGGCGGAGGTGGTTACCGTGGAAGCGGTGGTTACGGCGGCGGTGGATACAGGGACAACCGCAGCTCTGGCTATGGCAGCGGTGGTGGCTACGGCAACAGAGATAGCGGCGGTTATGGCCGGCGAGATTCGGGGGGCTACGGCAGCCGAGGGGGCAGTGGCTATGGTGGTGGAGGCGGTAGTGGTGGCTATGGCAGCGGAAGCTACAACCGACGTGATCAAGGATCTGGCTACAACAAACAGGTAAAGGGCCGGTTTGTACTCGTCGCAGATCATCTTTAGGTTGCTAACTTACGAAAGTTGAGCATATCAACAATTCAGTTGAATCCCTCTGCAAAGGTTTGTTATGTGCACATGAAGTTAGAACCAGCCTTGAGGCTTTCACCACTCCTGTCTATGTGAGAGTTGCTCTGAGAATTCTTCCGTGAAAGACTGTGTCATTTGCAGCATTTTGCAACTTTTTCATAGCTTGTTTGAGCTTATTCAGGTCTTTGTATTTCCATACACTCACCGTTTCTCTTGGAATACACAATTATTTCCTGCTAATTGAATTGAAGTGTAGAAATTTGTTTGAGACAAAAATTATTTCCTCCAACTTAGGGTGAAAAACATTGGCAGCAATGAAAAATTTTTGAATTTGTGAGATTTGTATTTGTCTTGCCTGGACAGAGCGGCGGTTACGGCAGCTCTCAGGGTGGCTACAGCAGTCAGGCCAGTGGCTACGGCAGTTCAGGTGCCAGCGGCGGTTACGGCAGCGGCGCTTCCGGCACCGCAGCCACCGCGTATGGCAGCACAGGCACGGCGGGCTACGGCAGCTATGGCACAGGCACCGCGGGCCAGGCCACCACCGGGGCCAGCCAGCAAGGGTATACCAACCAGCAGTACGCCCAGTACCAGCAATACCAGCAGTACCAGCAGTATTACCAGAACAACCCACAATATGCCCAGCAGTACGCCCAGTACGCCCAGCAGTATGGTAATTATGGAGGGTATGGCCAGGGCTCCGGAGGTACATCCCAGTAAACTCATCAACAAGCAGTACGCCCAGCAGTATGGTAACTACGGAGCGTACAACCAGGGCTCCGGTGGTACATCCCAGTAAAGTCATCAACCAGCAGTACGCCCAGCAGTATGGTAACTATGGAGGGTAGGGCAGAGCCTGGAGGTACATCCCAGTAAATTCGTCAACCTTAAAGAAAAAAAATGAGCTCATAAGGCACGTTTTCAGTCAGCTATTACACTGACAGCCTTTTTTTTATATATATACATTTGAATGTTGGAAAAAGAAGGATTTTTTTAATGTGTTCTGAAAGAGTTTTTGGTTGTATGAGCTAGTGTCAGTCCATATTGTGGTGAAAATTAATGGAAGGGGGATCTCTGATTTTAAATATGTAAATATTTTCAGATTTGGATTCTTTTTTCCTTTTTGTGGTTGATTGCCGAATTAGGGCACTATTCACGAGGATGATGTCTATGTAATAGGGTTATTGTAGCCAGTATGACGCAGATGAAAAAGATCTCTATCTGTGATTGCGACTAGCGCATTTAATCAGTGGATTTCTTTCCAGCAGATGTGAATATAGGAAGTTTTGGTAGACAATCGTCATCAAGTGTTGATATTGAAGTCAGAAACAAAGCTAGGAACTTAATGTGTCTAGTTGAAGGAATAAGTGAGATGCCCAGTCATTGCTTGCAAGTGAATTTGAAATCAGTTGCATAAATCAAAATCCATTTCCATATCTTCTTTGCACGAAACTCTTTTTGACTTCACAACCAGAGCCTTTTAAAATTTAAAGCTCTTAGCATTTTCCTTCATGGGGAAGTGACTCACTTCCCCATTAAGGAAAATGCTAAGTAACGTTATCCTGATGTATGCACAAAACCAGTCCTAATCCAATTCTGTAATAATTTGGTAGACAGTGTGCTAAAGATGTTCTCTGGTTTCACTGCCAGCAGCTTAGATGTTGAACACATTCATCCTTATCACTAATCACCAGTCGAAGAGATCAGTTATGTGGTTTTGCGAGTAGCACATTGCGTACCAAAAACATTGAATCTTTTCCGGGCAGAAATGTTGGGTTTGAAAGAATCAGTGGCAAGAATCGCAGTCCCAGATGAAAAATCAATTTTTTTTTCACCCATTTTCAAAATTTCATTCTTGTATCCATTCTGTGAAGATCTAAGAATCACATCATACAAGCCGTCATTTGTTGCTGTTGGTGCATTGTTTCTTTGGTAGATAGTTTTGATCTTTAACGGCTTAGCATGCACGAACAGTGAAACTTTCTGCTTAGCAGCTCAAAGTTCACCACTTCCCAGAAACAAGATGAAGGTGAACGTCTGTCAGTTTTGTAAGAAACATTTTGTATCTTAGAAAATTTGTTAAAAGTAGATTAAATTTCGTTTGAAATTGTAAATGTAAAGTAGGTGAGAATTTCTTAAAGTTTCTGTTTTTGTGGTCGGCATGTTGTGGAGTAATTTTTAAGAGTGAAGTGAAATACTATAAAATGTAAATTTTAACCTTTCGACAACCAACATTTGATATTGTTTTTTGCACAGTTAAAGAGTGTAGAAAATATAGCCCAAGGTACTGACACGACACACTAGTAGATGTTTAAATTCCAGTCTAGATTGTTCCTGAGCGCATGCCCATCGTCTCACACGTTTTTTATTTCGCCAAAATCGCTATATAGTTGCATGCTTGTTTATATTGCTATTGCCTTCAGGCCATTTTTTTTCACACGCAGTTCGGAAAAAAAGACAATTGTAGAACTCAGGGACACAACCAGTTCCGATCCTGGTCTTGTACAAAACTTTCAACCCATTGATGTGTTTACTGCTGACGACATTTCCAAAGTAATGCAGCCTATTTTGATGGTGGAAGTTGACAAGGGGATGGATTAAAAAATCAAACATTGGAGATACACCCTAAAATTTCAGTCTTCGTTTATTTTGTTTTCAGCGTCACTGTGAAAGCCAAGCTCCTCGTAAACAAATTGTAACCATACCAACATTACAAGAAGTAGAGGCTGTGTTGTGATGTGTTTACAGAATATGCATAATTTGTAAATATTGATTTCCTTACCTTTTGGCATTCTTGATTCTAAAAAATGCAATCCCATTCAGAAGGCTAAGTCTGATTAAAGACTGACTGAGCCTGATCCATGAGCAGGCAAAACACCTGATGCGCAGAGACCAGTGAGCCTTAATTTATAATGACTGTCCCTTTTTCAGCTATGAAAGAGTCCTTATTTCCCCCCTCCCACACACACACATAAGTGTGTAT